TACTTGAAAATCTTGGCAAGGAACAATCATATGTGCAGGCCTTATATTACATGTACGCCCTCTTGAGTGAACGCGAGTGGGCAAAGGATGCTTTATTAGATTCTTGCAAGTATACAACTGCTCAAAATCTTAGAAATTTCTTGCCTATCTTATTTTCCTATATTCATGTTGAATCTTTGATTTTTGGAAATTATAGCAATGAACAAGCCCTGAATATTTGTCAAATTATAGAAAAATGCATGAATTTGAAAAAAATAGCACCTCTCTTTCCGCAACAATTAAATAATTTTAGAGAATACAAATTGGAGCCACAATCACAATATTTATTCAACATCTCAAGCCCTTATATTAGTATTTCATGTACAAACGTCTTATACCAGTGTGGTTTACAAGAAACGTCTAACAAAATTTTATTAGATCTTCTATTAGAAATCTTGCAGAAGCCTTGCCATGAAACTTTAAAAATCAAAGAAGGTTTGGGAAGCTTTATTTTTTGCGTAGCTCGCAGAACAACCGATGTCCAGGGATTAAGAATAATAGTTCAATCAGAACTTCCGCCGTTATATATTGATTATAGAATTGAAAAATTCATTGATGATATGAAATCTCATTTAATGACCATGACCAATGACGAACTGGAATCTTATAAAAAACTAATTATTGAAAAACGCTTAGAAAAACCAAAATCAATATCGGATGCTGCTGACAAATATTGGGAAGAAATTGAATCGCAAAAATATAATTTTACCAGATCTAACACCGAAATTGCATTACTAAAAAATATAACAATGCAACAAGTATTAAGCTTTTTCTTAGACTATATAGAAATATCTGGAAAAAATCGAAGTAAGCTTGCTGTATACGTAACTCCGATGAGTTCTAATAAAAGCGAAGAAAGCAAATTATGTTTAGAAGCTCCATTGAAATATTTCGTAATTGAAAATATTGAATCATTTCAAAGAACAAAAGGGCTATTTTCGTTAATAGATAATTCCCATGTACCTAGAAAAGGCTTAACACCTTTGTAATTGTTATTTAATGTTTTTGTAATAATGTATTTCGTACAAAAATAAACATTTAAATCTTTCTCGAGTACTTTTATTTGATTCGCCAACACAACTCTATGATATACTTTTATGTTCTGGAGAATAACTCTTCTGTTTACTAATTAATTAAAGTATTATTTTTAAAAATAGTTGTCCTACTAAATATTTAAGAATTATTGTGTACGTTTTTTGAGGTTTGAGGTAAAAGAATTATAATGTACCCGTTACATTTTATGACTGAACAATCGGGAAATATGAAAAGGTAAAAATAATATCATTAAATGCATTGACGAAAATTTCATACTAAGTACTGTATACATAATGTGAAGTATTTGATTAAAACATTATTTATAATAAGAGTGTATATGTATATAGAATATGTGAAGTATATTGAGAATCTAAAAAAATAAAAGTTTACAACTTTAAACGTCAAAACTGAGTAAAACGATAACTATAATATTAATTAAATTAATGCTATATTCTAGAAATGTATTTGACAAATAATTGACGCAAGTAATTAATTGCCCAAATGACATTTACTTATTTTAGTATCAGTCGAGCTAATTTTATACTAATATTGCGTGGTAAAACTTTCATCATATTTAACAAAATGGATATTTCATTAATAAGTTATCGTTTGCAGGCCTTGCGACAAAACACTCTGTTTTAAAGAAAATGCCAGACAGGTACGATAATATAATAAAGTCTCCGGAAGACAAGAGAGAATATCGCGGAATAATTTTGGCGAATCGAATGAAGGTACTTCTAATTAGCGATGTAAGTGCTGACAATTCCGCCGCAAGTCTATGCGTCAACGTTGGCTACTTAAGTGATCCAGACGATCTGCCTGGATTAGCTCATTTTTGCGAACATATGTTGTTTATGGGCACCAAGAAATATCCAGACGAAAATGATTACATGAAATACGTATCAGAACATGGAGGATCATGCAACGCTACAACGGAAACTCACGAAACTAAATATATGTTCGAAATCGCACCAGACTATTTAAAAGGAGCTTTAGATAGATTCTCCCAGTTTTTCGTAGCACCACTATTTACAGAGAGTGCCACTGAGCGGGAAATAAACTCAGTTGATTCCGAACACATTATTAATGTAAATGAAGATTTACCTAGATTGGAGCATCTCCAGGCGCACTTGTGTAATCCTAAGCACCCATATCATAAATTTGGTACTGGTAACAAAAAAACTTTGATGGAGATACCAATGGCAAAAAATATAAATGTTAGAAACGCCTTAATAGACTTTCACAAAAAATGGTATTCGTCCAACATCATGACATTGGCTATCATTGGAAAAGAACATTTGGATGAACTGGAAGACACAGCCCGAAATTTATTTGAAGAGGTGGAAGACAAAAACATAATAGCGCCAATGTGGACAGAACATCCTTTTGGTCAAAAAGAATTAGGGACTTGCACTAAGATCATGCCCATTCAAGACTTGCGAATACTGAATATTCGTTTTCCAATGCCTGACGTAAGATCTTATTATAAATCAGCGCCTGGTCAGTATATAGCCCATTTAATTGGGCACGAAGGACCAGGCAGTATTATGTCCGTGTTGAAGAAACGCGGTTGGAGTACATATCTCTCTTCGGAATTGCAACAAGAATTTGGTTTTTCTTTCTTTAATATCACTTTAGACTTTACTGAAGCTGCTATTGATCACGTCGATGATATAGTAAAATTGATTTTTCAATATATAAATATGCTAAAAAATCACGGGCCGCGGAAACAATTGTTTGAGGAGTGCAGGAGTATCAAAGATATAGAGTTCAGGTTTAAAGATAAAGAAGAAGAATACTACTATGTTTACCAACTTGTCTCAAATATGCTATTATTTCCTTTTGAAGAAGTATTATGTGGCCCTTATTTAATGAGTGAATATAATCCAGATATTATTCAAACAATTCTGGATTACTTCACTCCAGCAAATGTTCGAATAAACAAAATTGCAAAAATTTATGAAAAAGATTGCACAAAGACAGAACCGATATATGGAATTAAATACCACCAAGAAAAGTTGTCATCGGAAACAATAGTTAAAATTAGCACAATAAATGTCAATGGAAATTTTGCGCTTCCGAAACCCAACAACTTCATCCCAAGAAATTTCGACTTACAACAACTACTTAGTGAAACAGATCATCCTGAAGTAATTGAAGAAACAATACATTCAAAAGTGTGGTTTAAACAAGACAAAGAATTTTTGATGCCAAAATCATTAATAAATCTCAAATTATCAACGCCTTTAGCGTCCACGGATCCCATATGCTACAACTTAACTGTATTGTTTCTAAATCTGTTCGAAGATTCTTTAATGGAATATACTTATGACGCTCATGTCGCTGGATTAACTTGGTACTTAACGCATTCCATTAAGACAGGCATAACAATTAGTTTAGAAGGTTTCAATGATAAAATGAATGTACTATTAGAAGCTATATTAGATGGTTTCAAGTCGTTTAAAGCAGACAAAAAAAAATTTAACATATTTTTGGAAAATTACGTACGTCGTTTGAATAATTTCCGAACTATGCAGCCAAGTGATATAGCATATTACTATACTGAGGTTCTCCTGAGTGAAATCAGTTGGTCGTACCAAGAATTATTGAACGCTGCTAAATATGTGAATTTTGAAAAATTGAATTCTTTTATACCAACACTTTTTTCTAAAATGCATGTAGAAGTCCTAATTAATGGAAATTTTAACAAAATACAAGCTTTACAAATATATGATTTGGTGAAAAATAAATTTGAGTTGACAAAAAAGCAAAAACTTGAAACGCGGCATTTATTTCATAATAGAGAACATAAAATTGAATGTTGTCGTGCATATTTATATAGCACAGATACTTTTCATAAGAGTTCTTGCACAACCCTTTTATATCAATGCGGAGTACAAAACATTGCAAATAATACATTACTTGATTTACTCATCCAAATTTTTGAAGAACCATTTTTTGACCAGCTAAGAACGAAGGAACAATTAGGATATATAGTAGCATGTACAGCAAGAAGAGCAAATGGAACTCAAAGCTTATTACTACTAGTACAATCAGAACGATGTTGTCAATATTTAGATTCTCGAATAGAGCAATTTATTGAAAATATGAGATATTACTTGGAAATCATATCCACTGAAAATTTTGAAAAGCATAAAAAAGCATTGTTTTCAAAAAAATTACAGAAACACAAAACATTAACAGATCTTGGTTCATTTTATTGGTATGAGATTTTATCACAACGATGTCAATTTGATAGAAATGAAGTGGAAGCTGTTTACTTGAAAACAATTACTAAAATACAGTTACTGAGATACTTTATGGAAAATATCCATAAGTGTGGATTGAATAGAAGAAAGTTAGCTATATATGTCAATTCGACATCAGACACAAAAATTGATAATTCCATTATTGACTGCTTACAACAAAAATATGTAAGAATTGATGACCATATAGCTTTCAAAAATAGCTCCGAGTTATATCCACTTTGTAAACCGTATAATACAACAACCATTAGAAATTAATGATAATAAGCAGATGTGCAAAAATATATAGATATTCATTATATTACCTGATGTAAAGTAAATCGTTATAACAATACAACAAATACATTCCGTTATTTCATGTTTGCAATAGTTTCAGCATATTTTTGTAAGCAAAATTCAAAAAAAAAAACGTTATATGCTAAAACCAGTTATTTTTATCGATTCACTATTAATTTCAATAATATTTTTAATTGATTGATTAAATTTAATTTATATTTCTGGTCGAAATTTTAAATTTAAATATTTTTGAAGTACAGAACTAATTATTCTGTATTCAATAATAGAGAGAAAATTCAAATTATGCACAATTATATATATATACATATATATATATATATATATATATATATATATATATATATATAGATATATAAAACTTACCTTGCAAATTGCATAAACAGTGCACATGAGTATTTGATCCAAATGCCTATCTTTCATCAGTTCTGTATAATTGGTGATAGCATATTCAAAGCAAGTCCAGATCTTGCACTGCAGTTCATTGTCCAGCAATTGAAGTTCTTTGCAGAGTTTCTCAAGCCTGATTGATGCCAGCTGGTAAAACTTCCTAAAAAACAATCCTAAAGATCCTAATTTTTTTATGTTTGCTTGATGAGATCTAGAAGAGGCTATTGACTCGGGTGATGATATATTTGATCGCACTGTTTCTATTTGATCCGTTGAACAATTATCTTGGTTTTCAATTTGCTTTTGATGTGCTAATGTGGATGTTGAAGGAAACAATTGTTTGCGAGCTTGTTCACTCACTGGAGATTGGAAGCGCTCAGATGCAAATGATACTGGACTATTTGGAACACCTGAAACTAAAATGAATGTCCAAATGAAAGTAGAAGGTAATCATTAGTCAGCTAAGTCTACAAACATAATTAAACTTCAAAAGGTGGTAAATAAGCACTTACTTGGGGTTGTGGCAATCTTTTTAATAATAGGATTTGAGATTGGTGTATTTCCAGTTACTGTATTTGAATCGTTCATTATTAACTCAGGAAGTGCCACATCTTGAGACTGTGGAACAGATCCTGGTGTACCATTCAATTTATCCCAAACAACTGAATTTGATTCCCATGCTTTAGTTCCTAATATTTGCTCTTCAATCTGAAACATTATGAAAATAATGTGGATTGAAAACACTAATATTTTATATATAGTTTTATAAAAATAATGAGTAAATCAAAATTATAGTTATAAAGTTTGGATATCTACTTACATTATTCAAAAGCTTGACAATTTCCCTTGTTAACTTTTCTTCTGTCCTAACAACAATTTCAATTATTTTGTAGAAATCAAAGGCATGAATTTTGAAGCACTCCAAAATCCAAGGAAACTTATGTTGTTGTGAGCCGAATGCAAAAATGATGATTTCCACGCAACACGCAAATAGAGTTAGATGAAAGATGTCAACATCAAGTAATTGCTGTAAAACCAATAGATATTGTTAATAAATCCATTCAATATTTAAAAAGTTTTTCTACGTACACTCATATTTAACGTCTTTTTACGTCTTAGTTCATCTCTCAATATATTTTCCAACAATCTCCAATATAATGAAGTAGACAACTGTAGTCTTTGTTTAGAGAGAGTAATATCTGATGCGGGATTTGGTGTAATTGAGCCACGATTATTAACACGATTAAGAGCAACAAAACTGGCAAAATAATTTTGTGTAAATGTATTAGAGCACTTCTTGATGCGTTCTATTAATTTGGGCATAGGATCCACCTCCTGATACCTAATTTGTAGTAGGAAAATAATTTAAATTATATATTGAATTAATTCAGTAAAATTTCTCATAACTTACGCAAACATTTCCTTCAATTTGTTAGTAGGACCATTTCTATATGGTTCCAGCATTTCTTGAAGTTTTGTCAAAGTTTGTGTGGCTTTTGTCACTGGTGACAATCCATATTCTCTTCCTCGCCCATTCAAATATCTTTGATTTGTAAGAGGAGTGTGTGGAGTAAGAGTCTAGAATAAGTACTTTTATTAATTATTATGAAAAAAAAATATAAAAATAAATAACAGCTTGTAAAAAATAGATATTACCGCTGACATACGCTCAGAATTCCGTTCTTGAGATCCTGCAGCATAGTCATCTGAAATATTTGAAAATAAATAAATAATTAAAATTAAATTTGTAGAACATTGTAGTGCTGCATCTTCAGATATTATTTTTATATAATTAAAAATAGGTGACAAAGATGTAGTATAGGTACCAACTGATTTATTGATAATGATCGAAACTATACAATTAGAAAATCCAAAATATGACACCATAGCATTTAATGGTTCAATGTACTTTGCTAATGTAATTGTAAAAGATAAATTCAATTAATTTTGGTATTATGTATTCAATTAAGTATGCATGTGTATAAGCTAAAATTTGATTTTTCGTCGAAGTTTTGTGAAAAACGGCAGAACGGATTCCAAAAATTTTAAAACCATTTGATGAAACTCTATAGGAATTAGTTGAGCGCTCATTGCTGATTAGTTTTTGGCAAAGGCAGATCCAGCCGTTTCGAAGATAAGGAGCAAAAAGTTCCAGAAACGATAATTCAGGTTTTAAGGGGCACAACTAGTGTAACCGCCTAAAAAAATGTGAATTTTGGGAATTTATATTAAAAAAACTACTTTATCAATTATTTCAAAATTTTAAAAATATATTTATACATGTTTTAAAAATACATAGTAAAATTTTTGAAGAAAAAAATTAAATATCTTTTAAGTTATCGTCGATCTCCAACAGCACGACAAAAAAAGGCCCTTAACTGCTGCAGTGATTCCGGCCTTCTACGTGGATGAAATAAAAAAAAAAATTCTCGTTAAACTAAATAATATTGTCTGTAAAATGAACTGCGATTAAAAAAATAAATCAAAAATTGACAAAATGGCGGCGTTTTTAAAAAAAAGTCGAATTTTACCCAAAATTTTGGTCGTTTTTCGACTGCCAAAATTCGATTTTTGATCCGATCAAAAAATCGATAGTTCATTTTACGGAGAATTATATAAAGAACATGTAAAAAAAATTAATAGTGATCGGATCATTCTTGAGTAACCACTGCAGCAAATTCGGAAAATGCTGTTTCGAGAAAAACACGTTTAAAGATAAAATGATCGTTGTATTATATACTATATGTATACTTTTTAAATGTCTGTAACTCAAAAACTATTTGAGATATCGATTTGAAATTTTAATATGTTATTTTTAAAGGTGTAATCTACCGAAATATGAAAAAAAACAAAAATCGATTTTTTCAAAATTTCACACTAGCTGTGCCCCTTAAGAGAACAAAGCGTCCGATTTAAATGATTTGAAAAACATTACATTAGTATTACCAAATAAAGAACCGATTAAATTCTTAGAAAGGCAGGACCAGCGACTTCGCAGATTCAATAAAAAAGTTAAACTAGCTGTAAGTGGAATTCTGTCTTAAGGCAATTAAGGCATCGTGCCTTAAGGCAAATTGCTGGAACTTCCCGTACCAAAAATTATTATTTTTTTAAAAACGATTAACATTTTTGAAAAAAATTTACTTCGAAAAAATAAGATTTTTGACAAACAATTAGACAAAAAATTACTTTTTTTTTGAAAAAAAATTTTTTTTTTTTTTTTTTTTTAATTTTTTTTTTTTTGATAAAAAATGTTTTCTTTATTTTGACATATTTTGAAAGATCTAAACTTTTTTCAAAGCAATCGTACTGCTTTAACTGCATAAAGACGAAATATCAAACCGCGTAAGCGCCGCGTCGACGTCTAACGCGTAAACATTGGTACGGAACCCATAGGAATGTAAACCAAAATTATACTTATTGTTAAAATCTCTATAAAATATCTGATAATTTGATGTGCATATGTCTAATGATCATTTTTGACCGCCAAATGACATTTTTTTTTACTTTTTTTATTAGATCTCCGAAACCGCTAGACCTGCCTTTATGAAAATTTGATCGGTTCTTTACCTTGTCAATACAAGTAAAATGTTTTTTGAATTATTAAAATCGGACGCTCCGTTCTCTTAAAAACTGAGTTACCGTTTTTGGCACTTTTTGCCCCGTATCTTCGGAACGGCTAGACCTGACTTCGCCAAAAACTAATCAGCACGTCTCCTTATCAATAGGAATCGAATGTTTTTTGAATTATTCAAATCGGTTGATCGGTGTTCCCGAAATCATCGACGAAAATTTGTATCCGCACATACATACACACACGCACACACATACACACACGCACACACACACACACACACACACACACACACACACACACACATACATCCATTTTTTCTAAGGTATGCCAAAATATTGAGAAACTTCTGAAACGTAAAGATATATAAAAAATTTCATTTTCGATTTTTTTGCGATTACTATAACTTGCCCTACGGGAAGTTAATAAAAAGCCAAAAGGCGGAAAATGGACATTAGACATGTGCACATCAAATTATTAGTTATTTTAAAAATAAGTATTTTTGTTTCATATTTTAATGGGTTGCGTACCAATGTTTATCCGTTAGACTGAGAGTCGGCGCTTACGCGCTTCGATGTTTGGTCTCTAAAACAGATGCGCAACGCAATTGCTTTGAAAAAAAAAAGTTCAAAATATTCAAAAAAATCAATATATGAAAAAAAATCAAATTTTTTCAAAATTTTCATTAAATTTGAAAGTTTTTTTTTAAAACAATAATTTTCGATACGGGAAGTACCAGCAATTTGCCTTATGCATGTTCCAACAATTTGCCATGCACCAATAGATACGATTAGTTTTTAATGTTAATTTTTAGAGATAAAGGGTTAATTATCTAATATCAAGACTATTAGTTATAAGACCCACACATTGAGAATCTTAAGGACAGCTGAATCATGTTTTGCACTGCATTCATGTTTCAGCCAACGTGCAAACAGCTGTTCGACATTCGATTCCAAGAAATGAAGCGGGGATCGGCGAGAAACATATGGCTAGACGTCCGACGGCGCACGTACCTGCCTTTTAAAAAATATTTCTCTCCCTTCCACTACTTTTATTTTATGCGGCGACGATAAATAGGCAACTATTTATTTACGAGGGGCACTTTAAACTTTAAACCACCCTTAAAATAAAATTAACTCAAAAAATGCACCTCGGCGAACGCCGTGCACCGGCAAGGTTAAATGTATTGTTAGATACACACATATACACAAATATAATATTTACACCTGTCTATGAAATATATTTAGCAGATAAGTGGTTGATAAAGAAGAGTAAGAGTCATCCATTACAAGTATTGATATAGAACATTTTCAATATAATTATTATGTGCTTCAATAAATACAAATTCTTTCCAGAAATCAAGAGAATATGAAAAATGATATCATGGTTATTTTATATTAGATAAAGTTAAGTGATACTATTATTTTATATTTTAATTTTTATATATTATTATGTATAACACATTTTTCTTATTTTTGATTTGTGCATGGATTCATATTTATTGAAGTACATTAAAGAATTAAAATATATAAGCACATCTTATACATTAATAAACTATATGATTGAAGTCTAATTATTTAAAAAAATAGCATAAGCCTATAATTCACTGTAAATTTGAATAATTATTTGTTTCTATAATTGCTCTTTAAAATTATTATTAAGAATCACATGTGCATATTTCCAGTTTTTTCATGATTAATTCTACTTTTGTGTAAATCAGAGAAAAATTCATTATCATCCATAAAAATGAAAAATGAAAGGGATAAAAGGTAAAATGAAATAAAAGAAAAATTGTAGGAAACTTTTGCAATTGCAATTTTTGTTTTATATTGTATCAATAAAAATGTGTTCAATAAAAAAAAAGAGAATAATACAAATAATAAAAAAAATAACTGCTCAACTATTCAACAGTCCATATAAAGAGTAAAAGATTATTATGTTTTAATAGGCACATGTTTATTGTTATGCAAATATTGTCAATAAGAAAATATTATTGTTGGCAAATAAATTGAAATATTCAACAAATTAGATTCAAACTACAATTATATAGCGATTGTATCATTTATAAATAAATTTACTGATAACTAGTATAAAAAATAGCATTGGTAGTATAGAAAGGGTATCAATATATGTTACTCATGCAAAATATTCAAAACCAAATAAAAATAAGGCTAAATGAAATTCAAAAACTCACCAAATAGTATTCTTTCATCAAATTCTCCAACACTTAAAACATAAGTATCATATAAATTATTTAATTTTGAAAGATTCTTCTCAAAATTCTCTACATCTAAAATTTTTGTGAAGTTATTGCCATCTCCCATGAGAATCTGTATTAAAGATGAACCCACATGAGTATATAGACTTATATATTATATATGAAATTAAATAAACTAAACATACACTTTCTTTAAAGTATCTTTTTAATATAGGTTTCAGAGTGTATTCCATTGTATGCAGTGTATCTTCTAAAGCAGGAGCACAATCTCCAGCGCTACATAAAACATTTAATATTGATATAGGTTTAGTAGGGGCTGTCCAATTAGGAGTATTCCAGTTTATTGGTAATCCTAAAAAAGAATAAAAGTATAAAAGTAAATATAAGATATAATCTTAATCAAATTAATAAAAATACTTCAGAGTTAACATTTTTCATTTACCACTGAAACTAGAATTAATAAGATCAGTCCGTCCTGCGGCAATAGCATTTGAATATAACAAATCAATGCAGCACAGCAATAGATGGTACAGGCAAATTAAATCATCACTTTTGTGAGGGTGTTCTCCTTTGATGCAAACAAAAAGAACCCAACAGAACTGTGATAATCTTGCTGAAGAGCATTTAATATTTCTGCTATAAAATAAAACATTACACTAACAATTATACATATATATGTATATAAGTGACTAAAAAAACTATAATTACTTTTGTTTGCGAGACTTGTTGATCCTCAAACTTTCTTTGTTGGGTTTCACAAACAGTTGTTCGAATAAAGCTTGAAACTTTTGAAATAAAATCACAGACACAGCTATACTTTTTTCTAATCTATCTATACGTCTCATAAATGATTCAGGCATATTTGTCAATTCAGCCCATGTCTTAACTTTTTTAAAAAACTCACCCAGACTGTAAGATATGAAATGCATTAAATATACATGTATAAATAGAAAGGTATTGAATTCAATTTTAATTTTATTTCATTGATGAAGAATTCGAAGAGCAATAATTAATAATTGAATTCAATATTTAAATAAGTGTAATGTTTGTATAAATTAATGTTTTTTTTGAACCAGAATTTTTACTAGTATTTACAAAGATAAACTATTGTAGTAATTATATTGTATACTGATAATTATACCTAATATTGCACAATCTCAATAATCTAGTTAAACTGACACAATTTCCTTCTACTAAGGCCTCACTTGTACCCACTGTGGGAGTCATATCTTGTCGACAGGCTACATATAATGAGCAACATAACCAGTGCTTCGGGTTTCCCTAAAACAAAGTTCATTATTAAAGACTATTAACAATAGTTTTATTATCTAAGGAGTATACGCTGGTACTTGAAAATCAAAGCATCAATACACAAGAAATACTTTTTTAAATAGATAAATATTTGAAAAAAAAATTAAATTAAAAGATGCTGAAGAATATGCTGTTATCGTCTTTAGAAACTTTATTTCGAAATTTACCTCTAATGTACAATTTTCTCTAATAGAATTGTAAGAATCCCACGAAGCAGTAGCTGCAGACGTGTCCATATTTAATTCTAAACACAAATCTTTATGACTTTTTTCTATATTTTCCTCATTATCATCATTTAAAGCCATTTTACTTAAATCACAAGCACTTTATTTATACGGACACAACACAAGTAAACAACAAATACGACACAGCAAATGTGCACTGACGTATTCCTTGACGGGCGGTCTGGGGAATGGAATTGGCGCCAAATCATATACGAAATAATTGGCTTTTGAGATAAATCAAATTATGAGAGACTAGTTTGACCGCCCTTATAAAATATTTTTACACAGCAATACTTAGTATTTTTATTTTGAGTCAGAAATGTTTCATTGCAATATATTATAAAAAGGAACTATTTGTCTATGCGAGCACCTATGGCGATTTAACTTTCCCGCGTGACAATGCACTGTTGACAGATCGAACAAGGCAGGCAACATTATTTTTTAGTAGAACAGAGTAGGATTCAATGGGACTCATTGCCGCCGATGGGACTGATACACTTCTTGAGTTGAGTGTCACAATGACATTTACGTTAACGCTATGAATGTTGGTTTTACATTTTTTTACTTTAAAGTTTAATATATTTTTATTTGTTTTTATTCCGGGTTATTTTTCTATATCATAAGTATTTTTATAAAATTTTATAATGTGTGATCGAGTTATTGTTTTAATTGATATGGACTGCTTTTATTGTCAAGTGGAAGAAACATTAAACCCAGATATTAAGGGTAAACCTATAGCGGTTGTACAATATAACGCGTGGAGAGGCGGAGGGTAATTTTAGTAATTAAGTTCCAAATAATACATTTAATGAAATGATCAGAATAATTGCAGTAAACTATCCTGCACGAGCAAAAGGAGTAAAAAGAGGTATGCGAGGAGATGAGGCACAAGCTCTATGCCCAGATATAGCATTACCTCGTGTACCGAATAAAAATCAAAAGGCTGATACAACCAGGAATGTCAACATATAATGAATATTTTTCAGTCATTAATAATTGAATGTAATAAGCTGTTAATAATTACTTATAGATATAGAGAAGCTGGTAAACAAGTAGCTGATGTTTTACAAACATTCACACCTCTTCTGGAAAGAGCCAGTGTTGATGAAGCATATTTAGACATAACAGATAATGTAATAATTAATATAAATTTAAATAATTACTTTGGAATAACACTTCAAATATTTTTAAAGATTAAGAAATGGCTTTCAAATGAAAAAGGAAAAGTCACAGAGAAACATTTATTCAATACATTTGCTGTGGGCTATGAAACTATACAGGATTTTCTGGAAAATATCTATACAGAAGATGAAACATTAACTAATGAACAATCTTTGAAACTGGCTATTGGTGCTTCGATTGCTAATGATATTAGATTAGCAGTTCTACAAAAAACAGGTGTTTTTATATCTTTATTTTATTGTTATTGTAATTTACAATATGAATAAAATTCATTCTAAATACTTTTTATAGGATATGAATGCAGTGCAGGAATAGCCCACAATAAGACTTTAGCAAAATTAGTTTGTGGTTTAAATAAGCCAAACAAACAAACAATTTTACCCCATGATAATATTCAGGATTTCTATAAGTAATAACATAAAAAGATAACTGTTTTACTTATGTTCAAATAATACAATTCAATCATTCAATTCAGAACATTGCCTATTACAAAGATAAGAAGTTTAGGAGGAAAGTTTGGCGAACATGTCTGCAGTAGCCTCAATATTCAATATATGTCTGAATTATTTGCGTATTCTGAAAAACAATTGCAAAACAGATTTTCTGATAAATACGGGTTTGTGTGAAATAATTTATATATGTATAGATCTAAATATGTAGATTTTAACATTATTATTGCATTATGACATTTCAGTTCTTGGCTATACAATATTGCACGAGGTTTTGATAATGAGCCTGTGGTACAGAGATTAACAGCAAAAAGTATAGGTTGCAGTAAAAATTTTCCTGGAAGAAATTCTATTACAACAGTGACTGCATTAAGACATTGGTTACATGAATTAGCAAATGAAGTATCTGAAAGGTAAAGAAATGAAAAATCAAATTTAGCACAATTGTATTAAGTTGCAATTAATTATTGCAGGTTAGAAAAAGATGAAACTGAGAACTTGCGAAGAGCTCAGCAGTTAATTATAAATTTTACCCTAGAAATAAATAAACGAGATACTAGCAATTCAAGAACAACTCGATTAACATCATATGACTCAGATCACATTGCGACACAGAGCATAGATGTTATATGTAATTATTCCAATCTTTTGGATAAAAATTCTGAAAAATTTTGCTACCAATAAAACATTTGGGTTTGCATGCTGGCAAATTTGTAACGAAAAACGATAATGGTGTTAGTATAACATCATTTTTTAATAAAATTGATACTAATAAAACAAAAGTGCTAAATAATACAGAGGATATAATAAATAAAACTTCTGTGCCTAATGATACTATAAAAAATAAGAAAGAAGATAAGTACATAGATTCATTTTTCTTGAAGAATAATAATCAAAATGATGATAAGCATAAGATTAAAAATAAAGATATAATAAAGGACTTATGTGAAAATGATAGGAGTACAAATAATGTAGAAAAAGTTGAATGTGAAAATACAAAATCTATTAACATTAATCAATGTGATAATGTTTCTGAGTCAATTGAATGTCAAATATTACAAGAGAAATTGTATGAAAATGTTGTGCAGGAAGATGACAATACGACCAAAAAAGAAATTGTTGATATCTCTTCGTCTTCATTTTTCCTGAAATGTTATCAACAAAATATTCAAGAATTGGAAAATGATGTCAAACATGCTGAACCAGCAATTCTAGTTGATGATAAACCAAGTTGTTCTAAAACAAGTAAAATTGAATTAATTTTACCTCAAGCAAATACTTCTTTTCATAGTGATGATTCATATTCGTCCACTTATGAATTAGAAAGTATATTAAAGAAAGATTGTTCTGACCCTGATTCATCGGTTACTTCAAGGACAAATACAGTTTCAAATAATGAGCATGAGCAGCAAACTTCTTACATTGATGATTATGAACTAGCTCTAAGACTTTCAAAAGAAGAATTTGGCAGAGGGCTTCAAAAGTGTGAAGAGTGTGGTAAAGATGTTTTAGATATGGTAACTCATATGGATCGACATTTAGCTTTGAAAATATCAAATCAACAAAGAGAAGAATTTCGTTTACAACAAAAACAAAATTTTTCACCTGCATGTCCAAATAAAGAACCTAAGAATTTGATTAAGAAGCGCAAGAAAGGTGCTAGTGGCATTGAGAATAAAGGAAAAAAAACGAAATCAATAATTTCCTTTTTTAATAAAGATTAAGATTAGATATAATTTAGTTATTTCTAAAAACTATAAAAAATGTTAAAAATAATGTTCAATTAAAATCTCATAAACCCAGTAAATAACTTTTTATTCTCAGCATATAATTATTAGAATAATTGGATAAATAATTTTGTACTAAAAAAGAAACAATATAATACATTAACAGGTAACTAAAATTTCATTGACTGCAGAAAAAAACTCGTATAAATATCACTATGAATAAATGTAAAGAAATATCACGACTTGATATGAGGTAAGAACTTTAAATATTTAAAAGTGCTGTCTCTTTAAATATAAACATAACTTTCTTAACGCTTTGTGCATACTGTTTGCGATTGTCATAGGTTAGGTGAATCATTATTATTTATGATTATTATATTGTCTAGGAGGTGAATTGTCAAGTTAACAGATTTCAGACCACTTCATTGTTTTTCAAAATACAAGGCATAGATAAATAAACATGGATTGGATACAGAGTACACAAAACGCGTTTTAATCACGATGGAAACTCAGCTTTTTTATTGTGGTTGTGTTAGCCGCACTGTTTTATTCTCATTTCTCTGATCCCAAGACTCAAGACATTTGAATTTGACAGTATCACAATGTCACTAAATTATTTTTTCATTTTTAGTGTAATTTTCGTGTTATGTTATATTTCTGTGTCAAGTGAACAACTAGAAGAAGAAAATGAAAATGGAAGATATACGATAGAAGGCAAAGTATTTTTACCGGAAAATTCTCAAAATGACTGGCAATCCAGTACCAAAATATTGGTGAACGGGGGCTTATATAGAGGGTTTTTGAAAGAAGACGGCACCTTTGTTATAAGTAATGTTCCATCTGGATCTTACGTATTGGAAGCAGTTAACTCAAATTATATGTATGAGCCTGTTAGAGTAGAAATTAACTCTAAAGGAAAATTCAGAGCACGCAAAGTGAATCACATACAAACATCTCAAGTCATACAAGTGCCATACCCTTTAAGATTAAAGACATTAGGAAAATTCAGATATTTTCAAGTAAGGGAACAATGGAAAATTACTGATTTCCTATTCAATCCTATGATTTTAATGATGGTGTTGCCATTATTATTAATCATGGTTTTACCGAAAATGATGAATGATCCTGAAACTAAAAAGGAAATGGAGCAACTCAGCAGCTTCACAAAGATGTCTGATATGCCAGAAATGTCAGAAGTCATTACGTCTTTTTTGAACCGAGGACAACCATCTAAAACAAAGGCAGTGAAAGAAAAGAAAAAGCGTCAATGATTTTTAGAGGTACATTGCTCATATATATACTTTGTATATAAATATTTATAATAATGTTAAATTATTGTTTGAAATTATGTATTAATAAATCAGGAATACAAAAGCATTTATAAATTCTCTTATCAAAAACATTGCTTGCATGATCAAACCTACAATGTGTGTATGTATATATACACACTAACGATTTTAACACAATCACTCAGCACAATAAAAGCAATAATTCAGATATTTCGTACATCATAATATTAAATAAATGCTAGCAAGCTTTTCTACAATTTTGATTTATAGCTAAATATCACAAATACTACATATTTTTTATTTTAGAATAGTGAAGAACATATCACTATATTTGTCAAATTGCCATTGATGACTCTATGTAACAAGTACGTTGGGTGCTGTTACTTTAATTAATAAGTATTATTCAAAAGAAAATAAGTTTGTCATATTTCACTATAAAGAATCACAATTTTGTATCTAAAGTATCTAAAAGCAATATGCATGTGAAAGTCCTTTAAAGCAACAATTATATTTTGATTATCTTTAAGATATGAACACTTTGAGCTATAGATATGATTTTTTAAATTATTTAACACTCAATTTGTTGAATTTCTAATTTTTATCACATACATTCTAATACTGTTTATCACTTGTTACAATGAAATTCACTATTGAAAAGCTAGTTTCATCTAAGATGAATTAAATTGCGTTAAATAGTATCAAACTGTAGTACCATTTTCTAAAGACAATGCCAGAATCGACCTCAAGATTAACAAAAGAGAATTTAATATTTCATTGATGACAATGTTTCAAAATTAATTACAAAACAAAATTTAAACTACAAAAAATTCTGTAAGTCTAATAAATGGCATATTGGCATATTATTGGAAAATGCTACTAGAAAAAAATACAAACAATTGAGATCCAAAAATTAAATAACATTCACACTATCTTCTTTTACTAGATTGTGATGTTTTGAATGTCAATGAATATCATTTATTTCGGCCAGTCATATCCATATAATCGTCTTCCTAAAATCAATGATGTACAAATATTTGTATTAATACATAAATGTGCATAGAAATATATTAGTAGAAACTATATATAAAATCTAAAAATACCTGCAGAAGATTTGTTTCAATTCGTGGGGACATTGCAACATATTCACATTCATTGATTTCACTTTCTAGAAATATTTCTTGCATGTGATTAAGATTAGGTTCCTCCGCTACAATTCTATGATTTTCCGTAGAACTTGATAGAGTATCTAAATTATAGTATAAAGATTCAGCTAGTTTTAAGTTTTTGGTAAATAATGATGATTCACATGTTTCGTGAAGAATAGGATCTACTAAAAAATCAGTCTTTGGTGGTGTTTTAGAAATGCAGTCTAATAATTCGCAACTTCTAATGCTATTTTTTGATTCTAATGTTTTAGTTATATCACAATCAAGAACTTCACAACTTCTAGATGTTTCTTTATTAAATTCATCAACAATTGATACTTTCTGTCTGCTTTTGCTGATATTAAGAGATCGTGGCAATGAGTTATAAAAATAACTTCTAGATTTGGGGCTACTGTCATTCTCATTGTAGCCCTTTCTTATTAAATAATTTAACTTATTTTTAATTGGCGTTAAATCAAAACGATTTTTTGTTTTCTTTGTCATATCACAGTTATTGGGTAGACCAATCTTAGTTTCTAAATAAATTTGAGATTGTCTTAAATCTTTCTGTGGTTCCGTATTACATCTAGGAATTTGATTTACTTCTTCAGCTATTTGTTTGGAATATGAGTTATTCAAACAAAAATTACTTTGTATTTGTGCTTCATTTAAAGAGCTCACTGATAGTTTTCTTAGTGAATGAACTTTAAAATCTACTGGAGAACTTTTACAGCAATTTTCATTCAGAAAATGATTATTAAAATTATGCACTGATCTTGCAGTAACTGGAGTAGAGCAATTGCAATCATCACAATCCTCAATTCCGTCATCACTCATGCTACAAGTATAATTATTTAAGTTAGACGAAAATACATGTAAGAACAGATGGCATGAAAATCTTATCAATATATCAAGCATAAACTTTTACCTTGTTTGGCTAATGTATCTTCGCCTTGGTGGCAATGGAGGTGGCATGTATACAGGTTCTTCATATAATGCGCTCAAAGTCTGGCTAGTTTGCATTGGAGATTGTTCTAAGATTTCTTCATAAACACCGGATGCTATAGATATTCCCGACTCTCTTCTTGGATTACTATACATGGAAGAAAGAGAACGTACAGAATCTATAAAATAAGAATTCTATTCAGAGTTGCTTACATTACTGAGATCGCTGACAAATCTTTTTTGATTAAAACTTCATCAGTATTACTTTCTACTTTGTTTGCTATTTCCAATTTGTCCAATGTTATTGTCGCTGGCTAGAATCATAAAACATGAATTTACAACATAATTCATAAAGAATTGTAGGAAAGAAAAAGTATATATCCAAATAAAATGTAATTACTTTATCATTCAAAACTGCTGTAGTGTCATCAGGTGATGAAGATAAAACTATGTCATATTCTAGTTTGTCATCAAATGTTAAAACTGAATTACCTTCAGGTGGACTGCAAGAACTCCAACCTAAATCATTATGTAAATATAATGAATGAAAACCATCATATCTTTGTTATGATTTTTTTTTTTTGTTACCTGAATCTTGATCAATATCGCAATATCCACAAAGATCACCTTCACTTCGGCTTATACGATGGCAATGCAATGAAGCAGTTGAATTGCCAAAAACTTCATCATCTGTATTAGAATTAATGTTGTGGTAATTCAATATATTATTTGTCAATACTTTGTTATTTGCCATAGAACTTTGTTTAGATATTGATAGTTTAGTGGTTAAAATTATATTACACTGGATCATAATCGCATGAAGAAGTTTGGGAGCTTCCGTACAAAATATCAATAGTTGTCCAATACCATTTGAAAATAATCTGTTGATAACTTCCTAGTTTAAAATTTAAACATTTAACTTATAGTTTATTTTCACGTCACTTACTCAGTAGTATGAATAACACATATTTTCCTTTCATCTATTCCACCTCTTTTCCCGCTAAGATGGCAATGTTTCACATGAGACCATAAAATAGAAATATCTGAATGGCTATTAATTTGGTTATTTTTATTAGGCTGATAAAAGTGGAGACCTGTTTCATTTACAATCATTTTGCCATAAATTCCCAAAAATCCAGCAGCCCTTGAGTGGGCATTATCTATTATTGAAAATTTGTAAGATAAACTTCTTTCTGGAACTTATAAAATGAAATATTATAAATATCATATAGTACTTTTATCATATGATTATTTTAAATAAATAATACCACTAATGGTTAAATCTTGTTTATAGTTCAATGCAGCTCTTACTGCATACATCCATTCTTGACTATTTGTTTCAGAACAACCTGCTAAATACATTATAGCCTTATGGCTTTTTGAGTCTAAAAACAGCCCAAAGGCAAAAGGTTTAGTTCTAGAATCTGTTCTATAGCAGACACAGGTATCAGGAATAAGCACAGAATGCATCGGAATTGCCATAATTCCAGGTATTGGATTTGAATTGTGTATAATCAGTTCTAAACCAGTAGTTGAACTTTTCAAATTGCACCATTGTTTTTTCCAAGCCTGAAATATCGATCACATATAAATGATCGGATTTAAACTAGGACATGATTGAAATTAAATTTAAAAATTATGAACAAAATATTAATGGTTCAAGGCAATATTTAGTTTAGTGTTAGCATGAAGCTGAACAAAGATAGATGAATGTAAATTTATTTTTATGAAAACACATTACAACGTAATTATGTCATAAAATATTTAATAGATCAATATTTTGTGAAAAATTAATAATTGACATTATGGGTTAATGTGAAGTTATTATATGTTGATGTGAAGTAACGTTTATATTGCTTAGCCTTTATCCGTGGGAATGTCAATATAATAAAGTTCAATTGCATATTTTTTCTAATCTAAATAAAAATGAAATCAAAATATGTTATTTGACTGAAGTTCAAATAATAATGTGGTATTATTTCAATTAAATATTTAGGAAAACCTTCTACCTTCCATGGTGTAAATCCTCGTTTTCGTACTTTTGCAGTTATTTTAACTTCTAATAATCCAAACATTATTGTCATCGATTTTACCATTATTGAATCAAACGACAAAATAAATTAATAATCATTTTTGTAATCTTTCTCTAAGTCAGTCCTTCTCCTCATAATTAAATTTGTTTTTATACCCATAAGTCGTAGTTTAAAATAATAGAAATTCTCTGAATAAAATCGTATTTGAAGCTAAATAAATGTTTACAGAATATAAAATATAAACACACCCACGTCAAGATATTACCGCCCATGGCAACGTCTACATTGACATAAAAGTAACCCGGGCAACCCAGCTTGTAAAGTAACCCACAGTCCCACAGATGCCCAGATCAAAAAGCTAAGTATCCATTGAGGAAGAATAATCATTTATGGCTCATTTTAATCATAATCATATATTTTGGATAATATTGAGATAAAAGCATTTAAATAGTTAGATTTTCTAACTACCGTTCGTTTGTCTTTACTTTAATGGAAGCAAATATTTGCAAACATTCCTGTTTAGTTTCTGTATTCTGTGTGACAAGTGGTGACAGGTATGTATTAAAATTATTATTATTATTATTAAATGATATATGTTTTTTAAAAAGTAAATTGAAACAGAAAAGTAGTATTTAAATATTTACATTTATATAAATGTAGGACAAGCTCTCCAACAGATATTATAATATTAAACATTAAATTAATTATAACTGTCACTGAGTACGCTTAGAGCGTTCAAGGTGGTGAGATAGTGAACTAACGGTGCGGTCGGCAACTAGATCCTTTTATGTTTACTTATCTATGACTAGATCTGTCAAATCGACGGTTTTGATTTGCTCTATCCTAGACAATATTTCATTTACTGTCAAAAGTTCGTTAAAAGGCAAAGTTTATAATTATTAAAAATCTAAATAAAACTACTGGTTTTGATATTTTACCTTAAGGCAAGTTACATGAACTTCCCGATATGTGTAAATAATCGACTTAATCTATGATAAATAAATTAATTTAAGAGTGATTAAAAGTATCGAAGTGGATTTATTACACATTGTTAAAAATCATTGTTGAACCAGTTTCCGTAGGACTTTAATGGTTTAGTATGTTCATTATTAAGACCAGGTACTCTATCGCTATACCCAAGTAAGTCATCTATTTTAATTTTAACAAGCGTCATAAAAACTATATCCTCATTTTCTCAAACTATGATGAATTTGAAAATTAAACTACTTGTCGTAAGGCCGTAATATTTCAGTAAGTTCTATTAGACCATATGATATATATCGCTAAGTTTCATTAAAATCGGCTTATTTTTTTTCAACAGTTAATTACAAGAAAACGGCTCGGTAGATTTTCACCTAACACTAATCAGTATCATTCCCAACTAATATCTTTCGAACAGTTTTTGATTTGTCAAAATCGATTGGGTAGTATGAGCTTAAATGTGGACGAAAAGTTGAATACATTTTTCCAAATTACAAAGAGACGGCTCGGCAGATCGTCGTACAAAACTGACAAACGATATATAGTCCTCATTGACACATCAAATGTTAGATTTAACATCAAATGGCTTTTAATTTTTTGAAATCGGTTCAGGCGTTTTTGAGCAAACGTAGGTCTAATTTTGACAAATGCTAAAAAAACGATACTAATTTTTGCAAGCTTTGCGAATTTTTAAAACTAATCAACTTGTAGCAAGGCCGTAATATTTTAGTATGATCTATAAGACTATGGTATCTACCATAAAAAAATCATAAAAATCGTCGAAAATTTTTTTTTAACGAAAACGGTCCTGTCGATCTTTACCAAAAACTAATCAGGTTGATTCCCAACCAATATCTTTCGAACGGTTTTTAAATTTTCAAAATCGATTCAGAATTACGGGCTAAAACGTGGACGAGTTTTTTTTTTACTTTTCTGCGATTCACAAAGAAAAGGCTCGGCAGATCGTCGCACAAAACTGAGAAACGATAATCATCATCGAGATACATCGAATGGCTTTTACATTTTTGAAATCGGTCTAGCCATTTTTTGAGAAAACGTCGATTTACGGCAAAAAATCTGTTCACATACGCACATACATACTTTTTCCAAATTTGCTCTCATTCGATTCTGAATGGCTTGAAACGTCGAGAAGACATATAATTAGCGAATCGGATTTTTTGATGAAAACAAACTTCTTCTTCGGGAAGTTAAAATGAAGTTTTTGTATATGTTTAATTAACAACGTTTCGGAACTAAATAGGTTTCGACTTCAGGTTTTCTTCAAAAATTTTTATAACCCAATAACTTGGAAAGACCGGTAATGGCAAGAAAATTTTAAAGTAATGGGTATTAGAAATTGAACTCCAAAAAATCTTTATCTGCAATTTTTATATGTGAGTTGTTATGATTAGTTTTATGTCAAAAGACTTGTAAATCCAGTTAATAATGGAAAATGTAACTTCTTTTCAGCATGTAAACCACGAATATGAAGATATCGATATTCTAATATGATTCTAATATTGTCTTGGTTGTAAACTGTTATAATGATGTGATTCTCGAACAGATGTCGGCAGTATAAGGTAGAGGTACTATTTACTTGGTCTTTTTATGTTTGCCGCAAAATAAGAAAACTGTCAGTAAATAACACATCAACTATGATTTAAATACAAACCAGCAATACAAATAATTATTTTTCAATCCGTGTTGGAGGTTTTGACGAGCGCATCAGTCGCAAGCGCTGTACCCATTGTCTATCAGTGTCGCCTTGTTCCTGACCAGGTTAAGGTGGTGATCTTTCGAGGTAAGTTTTTTTCTCAATTATTATTAGCGTTATAAACTAGTACATATTTTAAAAATTTTCAAGTCTATGTCAATTTATACAAGTTTATCTCCATTTATTTTCATATTGACTAAGATTCGATCCGCGTATCTCTGTATTTGCATGTCAATCGCTTAACCACTTAGCCACGACAATCAGTGGCGGATTAAGCTCTCTGCCGCCCTAGGCGCTCATTTTAATAGACAAAATTTTACTTTTTTAATTATTTTTTTTTTAAAAAAGATGGTAACCCGACTATTGGTCCTTTCATAATTGATTACTTCATTATTAGAAATTATGTACTAGGGCTAACTTATTGTTAACTTCCCGAAAGAGCACTTTGTTTGAAAATTTAGAGATTTTTTGCAAAGCAATGTTAACAAAATTTGTACTTATTGTTAATATTCTTATAAAGTATCTGATAATTTGATGTGCGTATGTCCAATGATTATTTTTCCACCAAGTGTTATTTTTATAACTTTATTCTAGATCTTTATAACCGCTGAACGTGCCTTCCCAAAAATTGGTTAATTCTTCATTTCGTCAATCTGAGTAAAATGTTTTTTGAATCATTCAAATCGGACGCTCTCTTGACAAAAACCGAATTTCTATTTTTTGACACTTCTTGTCCCGTATCTCCGAAATAGCTCAACCTGCCTTTGTCAAAAACTAATCAGCACGTCTCTCTATCAGTAGGAATCGAATGGTTCTTGAATCATACAAATCGGTTGACCCGCGATCTCTCAAAATCGTGGACGAAAATTAGTTTTCGTCCTAGTTAAATACATACATATTACTTACATCCAAACGCACACACACAAACATGCATTTTTTCTAAGCTCCAAATGTTTAGGAACCTTTGAAACGTAAAGATATGCAAAATAAAATATTTTCGATTTTTTTTGCGACTACAATAACTTACTCCGCGAGAAGTTAAAAATGAAAACAAAATTATTAAAATTTTTGAAAAAAAAAATTTGTTAATTTGATGTGCAAATGTCCATTGATCATTTTTGACCAGTGACCAAATGGCACTTTTTTAGATCACCAGAAACGCACGTTCACTTTACCATCGCAAAAATTTAGTCAATTCTTCATTTCGTTGCACAAGTAAAATGTGTTTTGAACTTTTCAATCGGATAGAGAATAAGGCTCTCTAGAAAATTTTTATAAATTTTGTGAAAAATGATGAAAAATAGCTATTTTTCATCATTTTGCCCCCTATTCCGAAATGGGTAAACCTGTCTTTATCAAAAACTATTCAGCACATCTTTCTGACAATTGAATCATTCAATCGGTTGATTTGTCTCAAAAGCGTCAACAAAACAATGTAACCGCAAATACACATGCATACATCAATTTTTCCTAAGGTATGTACATATAAACATACCTTACAAACTACGTAAATTGCATTTACGTTTCATTTATTTCACTATAACTTACCCATGAAGGTGGCCCATTGGAGGTCAAAAAATGATCAATAAACACCAAATTGTCAGATATTTTAGTTTAGGTTCAGTTTTATCTTATAGAATTCATTTTAAAGAAAAAAAAACGAACTAAGAAATATTTGAATTAATAACGTTAAAAAAGTTACAAAAAATCAACAGAGATTCAATATTTCTCCAAAAAAAGCTTATTAATTTGATAATTTTTATTTTAAACATGATACATCAATAAAAATATTGATGAGGCGCCCTCGAATAAGTTTGATTAAAAAACGAATAACATTCTATTTCATAGAAAATGGCAATGTTATTAAATTATTCATTAGTATTATTGGGATACAAGTTTTATAGCTAAATCCAGTTTTTTAAAACAAGTTTTTTTTTAAATTGTCAGCTTCATGATTGTCGCAATCTGATCGAAATTACGTTAACACATTTGAGGCAGTTGACTTGAAAAATTTTTAACTTCCAAAAAGTTGAAGAATACTCAAAAACGGCTGAACCAATTTCAAAAATTTAAAAGTCATGAAATAAAATTCAATCAATTAAGCCACTTGTCGAAAGCCTTTAATATTTTAGTTTTATAGTTTTACTAAAATCGGTATAAAATGGTTAACAATTTTATATTATAAAACTAGTTGTAAGTAGCATTTTGCCTTAAAGTAAGTTTAACGAACTTCTCGATATGTGTAAATAATCGACCTAATTAATAAACTAGTGGGGTGTATGGCATCGTCCCTTAAGGCAAATTGCTGGAACTTCCCGTACCGTAACGAAATGATCGAGGAATATTAAATGTTTTCGCTTACGCTTAGTTCTCTCAAAAACTGCAATTTTTGCACATTTAGCTCTGTATCTTCGAAATGGCTTTACCTGCCTTTGCTAAAAACTAATCATCTCTTCTCCCAATCATTATAAATTGAATGATTTTTAGATCATTCAAATGGGATACTCCGTTCTCTCAAAAACTTGATTTGTATTTTCTGCACTCTTTGGCCCGTATCTCCGTAACGGCTGGA